ATGACCCTGTCTGTGGTGTTGTTATAGCAACACAGAACAGACAAAGGCAATGTAAAATAAATGTACTCATCTCACTACACTTCTTCAAGTGAACTTGTATTTTGTAAAAATATATTGACATGGAATGATTTTACTACCTTTAAATAAATTAAGAAACACTTCTAAATTTCTTCCATCTTAATTCCTAATCAGTATATAGTAATAGCTGCAACCAACAAAAAGAAAAGTTCTGCAGACAGTTCAATACTTCTAACAGGTACAAAAAAGACCTGAGATTTAAAAAGAAAAACAAAAAAAGTTAGAATTTCTAGTGCAGAGAGGCATAGTGGTGCACGCCTACAATCGCAGCCCTCGTGAGGCTGAGGCAAGAGGATCTCCACAAATTTGAGGCCAGCCTGAGCTACACAGTGAGTTTTGGCCAGCCTAAGCTACACAGCAAGACACTGTCTCAAGAAAAAAAATTGCTAGTGTAGTGTTTACAGTGCAGAACCTGGAAGCCGACTCCCGGATTCATACCCCAGTGTTGCTACTTGCTAGCTACAGACCTTACTTTGTGCCTGTTCTCCATCTATAAAAGAGGGACAACGTACCTACTTTGTAGATACTCAGGACTAAATGAATTTACATATACACCACACACATCGTCTGCTTTTGTTTCAGCTCCTATTGTCACTAAATTTTTACTATATATATAAATTTGTCTTTATTCCCAGCAATCCCCCACCAAAGTTTCATGATAAGTAAAGAGAATAAATTATTCAAATAGGTTTCATTTACTTGAATTAAAAACAGGCAAGACATCTTGGAACCAGAGTCATGTTTCAAGCATACATGTTAAAAATAGTTTCCATTTATTCCAGTGTAAATTTAATATTCTAGTTCTCTGGCACTAAGCATTATAAAAACCTCTTCACAAAAACTAAAATCGCCATTTACAAATAGTCTTATTTTCCACATTTGTAAATCCTATGTTTAGAAAATAGGGAAACCGGGACAGGGCAGAGTGTCTGAGACGCAGCATCCAACTTGGGACCAGAACACATCCCAGCAGTGATTAATAGTAAAGTGTAAAAGAGAACTGTAATAATGGATGCCTTCAATCTAGGCTTTGGCATTCTCATTCAGTGAAATTAAAACTGTAGGCAGCTTTAAGAAATATAGATTTGATGTTTTTAGTATAGACAATGCTTTTAATATAGGTTTCGGTATATGCTACATGTACACCCATTCTTCTAAAGAAAAGCCATGCTTACTCAGCAAACAGCAGTTCATACTAGAAGATTTTAAACTGCTGTGAGCGGTTACACCCTGCAGAGTAACGTAGTGGCCAGCACACACACTTGGTGAAAGCAGCTTTTCCCTCGCTCTGCCAATTCCTGTGTTCTAGGGACAAGCTTTTTATAGCTGAGGATCCAGATTCTGGCTTGGAACCACAATGAGGACAAAGCCACCTGGTGGGAAGTGACTTAGGTCCATTCCATGTCACCAGAGTCTAAAGTTCTACAACTCCAGAAGGCTCGTGCTTATTTCTTTAAAAGAGAATTTAAAAAATAAATAAATAAAAGTAACAAAATAAGAACAAAACAACACAAAAGTAATAAAAATGATACAGGGTTTCAAAAGAAAATGACAGGAATTAACAGTGGTTATTATGTTATCTTCAACGGAGTTGCTCAGATTACCAGATGTAAGAATGCAAGATTGAGCAAACCATTAAAGAGGGAAAAAAAAAAAGCACAGACAACAGAGAGGACAGTGATTAAGAGCAGCATGACCCTAGGCTATTATGCAGAATCCTCGGTGGTACCAAGGGACTGACGACTGCATCTACCTCTTAAGGGTGTTGTAAAAATTAAATAAGGCAATAGGACATATGTAAAGTCCTTGCCCTTAACATCACACTGACGGGAAATTCCACCACAAGGCGGTAAGTGGAAACATAAACATTCAACCATGCAGAGTATGCGGTGGTGCACTGATGAGGTGATCTAGTTACAGCTACTGCATAAACTCGGGGGTAGAAAACAACTTTTTTTATGGCAGCCAATTCTATGGGTCAAGAATTTTGCGAAGTTTTCAGTGGATCTGTCAGAAGCTGCAGTTAGAGGCTGGTGGGGGCTCTAGGCTTTTGAGGGGCTCAGCTGCTGGGGACGTGCAACATGCTGTCCTCAGATGTTGGCAGCTGGTGGTGGCCGCAGGCTAGGACTTCAGCTGGGAATGTCAACCGGAGCAGCTACACGCACTCTGTGTGGCCTGGGATTACACCCAGCAGGACCTCCACAGGGTAGTCAGACGTCTCACATGGTCAAAAGCCAGGGTGAGCTCTGAGTTGCATTTGATGACCACCTTTAGGAGTTCGCAGCATCGTTCTGCTGCCTTTTATTTGTTATGAGTGATTAAGGCTGGCCCAGCCTCAAGGGAAGGGGAGACAGATCCCCCTTTCCAGAGGAACAGTGTCTAAGAATTAGCAGGCATGCTTTAAATCTGCCATCTGAGACTGAAGACAAATAGTATTTTTCAGCATGTACGGCCTTCAAAAGAAAACAGAAGGAATATTGAAAATACTGACCTGCAAAAATCCCAGCGATTCATCAGTCTCTTATTTCCTACTGTCTTCGAGAGAAGGGGGAAGGATACAAGAAACAGTAATTGCGTCTTAAGCAAATCTGCGCTATACCAAGTTACGTTAGCAACATCTGTGGGGCTTTACCTGATTAGAGTCTAAGCTGGGCTTCTGTAACACAAACTGCACAACACAGTGACTTCAGTTTGCATCACATGAACAATCCAGCCACCTCTGACTGGCCAGGCACCGCTTCTTTATCCTGACATTGAACCAACCGGCTCAATGCACGTCTGCCCTCCCCTAAAGCACTGTCCTTATCTGCCTGGGCACAGCCCACTTCGAGTTTATGAGGAAAATGAGGCAGCGTCTAGAAAGGCAGCTTGTCTCAGAGCCGATCTGCATCCGTATCTCTGTGCGCAACCACTGGCCCAAATTTAGTCACGTGACCATACCTTGCTGGAAAGGACGCTGGGAAATACAGTCCGGGCTGGGAAGCTATGTTCTTGGGATGGAGAGAACACATCAGGGAAATAACAGTCTGCTCTGCAAATGACCGGTACATCACCATTAGAAGACTACCTAACCTCGCTAGGGAGGGCCAGAAAATACGTTTATACTCAGTGAATCACAAATTCCTACTTCACAAGGCGGGAAGAATACCTCGGTGTCTGGCCCCGAGACGAGCAGCGAAGACCATCAGCGACTGCCAGGGCTTCCGTACCGTGCGTGGAGAGGGGACAAGATGACTGCGTCCCCTCGCTTTTGATCCTAGGCTTGGAGACTCATGGGAAAGTCGTGGTGAATCACGGCGCAAGGGGCAACTGGTTCTAACGTCCCTCCCACAAGAGTCCACACAAACCAGAAAGGCGAGTACAGCGAATTTTATAAAATTATAGCACTGAGAAAGTAGGTTGTTGCACAAAGCCAAAAGGAGAACAAAGGTGTCTCCTAGGTTTGGAAGAAGTAGCTAATATTGTAAATGGAGACTGTATTGGTATTTTAAGTCGGTAAACGTACTGTCCCTGCTGCCCCCCACTCTGCCCCTCCGAAGGTAAAAAGGCAATAAATTCAAGGAGTGCATGTCTGAAAGACAGGCTGTCAGTCTGGGAGGCTGTGGTCATGTGGAGACAAGGTGTCAGCCCCACGGAAGGGACAAGGACAAGGAGGGCGACACACACTCTGCCACACCAGGCAGCCACAAGCAGCACCGAGCTAGTCACCGCGGCATGTTCAGTGAGAAAGTGTTAAAGGAAAAGCGAAACTGCGAAGAGCTGTAACACAATATCACGCACATGTGTTAAGTACAGATTAAAAATACACCACACGCGCAGCACTCCACCATTGCCCAGGATCTAGACTTACAGCCGTGCCAAGACTGGGTACTGCTGTGGGAAGTGTTGGGAAACGGGGGAGGAGTAAAGCTCAGGCCCGGGGCCCCTGCTGTTGGGGAGGGTGAACCTGCGCGCTGAAGGAACGGAATTATGGGGGCTCTGCACCCCAAGTTAGGTCGGGTCCCACACTACGCTGCAGGGCGGCCGTGTCCTGCCCGAACACACTCAGCGTGCAGTGTGCGGACTGGAACTCGGGCCTTGGTGGCACCTGTTTGCTCAGGGGGGACGGCTTCCCTCACTAAGCGCCAGCGCCGGCCCGCGCGCTGGGTCCACCGCCAGGTGATAAACACCTCCGCTTCTCGGGTGAAACGGCACACTCTGCCCAGCCGCAGTCAACGTCCCGGCTGAGAACTTCGCGCGCAGCGGCCTTTCCAGGGCAAGCGCCTTGGCCGAGCCACTTCAGCTGTGAACGGGCCACACAGACTGCACTTTCAGGCAATCTTTCTAAAATAAACCTGAGCCGGGGTGGTGGCGCACGCCTGTAATCCCAGCACTCAGGAGGCTGAGGCAGGAGGATCATTGCGAGTTCGAGACCAGCCTGGGCTACAAAGTGAGCTGAAGGTCAGCCTCAACCGCATAGGGAGCCTGTCTCAAAAAGACAAAAAAAATTTTAAAATTAAAAAAATAAAAAAAACAACCTGAACGGTTCCCCTTCCCTCCCCAGAACTCACTGCTCCCCTAAGTGTGGCCCCAGAACGAGGCGGAGCCTGGTGCTGTCCTTCTTGAGTTTCACTGAGGGGCGAAACACTGCAGCAGCCCTGACTGCTCCCTGCGTGTCTGCATGTAAGGACAGGCCAGGCCGAGAGAAGTGACCCCCACGAGCTATGACAGTTTTGCTCCTACCTAAGCCTCAGAGCCCCTCACACGGGTCCCAGTGCCACGACGTGGCAAGTTACTCTGACAACTCGTTCTAAAGAGGAAAAACCACTCAGCTGTCCCGCCTCAAGCTTGCTGAGACAGCGACAGCCGAGCGAGCTCGGGTCCCCGCCTCCACACACCTTTCAACCTCAGCCGGACACACTGCTCAGAAATCACATCTGGAAACCACTCCGATTCCGACTTTTATTACAGGTTCACAACAAACCACCAGCAGCGAAAGGGTCATCCCACCGGAGGCCGCGCTCCCTAGCAAGGAGGGCGCTGGCGGGGCAGACTCAGAATCTCACTTGGGCCCTGAAGTGCATCTGCTTGGTGGCGTTGTTCTTCATCCCCGTCTTGAGCAGCCACTTGGACTTCATCCTCTGCACGTACTGCATGTCCCGCTCCCGAGCCAGAGCCGCGCCTGTGGGGAGGGGCCGAGAATCGAGGCGAGGCCTGTTAGGTCCCTCGGGTCAAGGGCGGCCCCGCTGCACTGACCCAGCCTGGGCTGGGGGTTCTCATATGCACAGAGGCGCCAACGTGGGGCTCCAAGCAGGGCCCGGGGCTCTGTGTGCCCTGAACTGAGTGCCAGCACCTGGGTACACACCCGTTTGTCTAGGAAGCACGGTACTTTCCCTCACCTCCCAGGGACCACAGGCCCCCCTCCGCTCGGAGGCGGAGGCAGAAACTACAGATCGAGGCAGACAACAACCCTCTCTCTGAGATGAGGTCAGTCACTGCAAGGCTCAGTGGCCCCCTGGCACAGGGGCAGCCCCGCAGATCCACACGGAGCACCAGAGTACATTATAAGCCTTCAGTGCAAAGTCAGCCTGGACTATGCAGTGAGCTAAAGGCCAGCCTGACACCCGGCGAGACTGTCTCAAACGGAGAAATGAGGGCAACCAACTAGGGACCCTTCTGTCTCGCTAAGGCGCAAGCCTTCTCTCCCCAATAAATACATTCTGCTCTTATCCTCCGTTGTTCCTAGAAGTCACTCTTCGATTCTGGAGAACACGAACTCCTCCCAGACATCTAGCAGGCTGGCAGTTTCCTTCCCTATGACCTGGAGGTCTTCCACCGAGATCAGTGGACAGAGCTAAGAGTTTGCTTTTGTTTCACAGATTCTGGATTGGGGCTCGCTTAGGCAACAAATTTTTTATGCTTCAAATTTTGTTGTGTCTTTGCCCACTGCTTATGATAGTTTTGTCCCACCTCATACCCACCTTGTAATTTTCCAATTTTCCCCACCTTGGACCACCTCACCTCGTGGTTGTGCTCTATAAAAATCCCTGGAAAAGGCGCCCAGTGCTTAAACTCTTGGAAGGCAACTCTTCTCCTACCCTCCCGCCTGCCCACCAGCTAACTTCACCTTCTCCGGGAGATCCACAGATACCAGCTGCGCAAGCCCACTCACCAGGACACACAACACCCCGCCGAGGAGGTTTCAGAGCTTAACAACCTCAGTGCCCAGCCTTAGTCACCTGAATCCCAAGTTTTCTTTGGGAAAACTGCAAAGAGGGCCTGAAGGCTCACGCCCTGCAGCACACACGCCTTCCGAAAGCCCCCTCGGCTCTAAGAGGTGGGTCCTTTCCTTAACTCTCACGGAACAAATGAGGAGACAGAAGCTCAGGCTAATTAAATTACTCACGCTCCTCACATGAGAATCTAAGGATATCATATAAGTCATGTTCAACTCCACGGCTCAAGCTGCTTCCCACCAGGATGCTATGTAATTCCTCTGCGCAGCCTTCAGGATAGTTTCAGCGTGTAATGCTAACTAAATATTCCTTTTGTAACTAATAGCGGGCCGGGGATGTAGCTCAGCGGCATAAGCGCTTGCCTGGCAAGCCTGTCATGAGTTCGATTCCCAGTACCAAAAAAATCTGTTTTAATGAAAGCGACTCAAGCAAGTGCAAGGTCGTGAGTTCGGTTCCCGGTACAAAAGAAAAACCAAAAAAAAAAAAAAGAAAGTAACTCACAGCTTTTGGAAAAGGGAACGGTGTCTATCAAGGTGTTTGCCAGGAATATAAAGTTTCTACGTCAAGCAGCCTTTGCTTGTTGCCACCAGCGTAATGGGAATGGAAAGTGGCATTGGGAACCCCTGGCGCCGGAGGTCAGGCTCCGCAGGGAGGCTCCACGAGGATGACGCAGACAGACGCGAAGTCACCCAAGCAGCCTCCACCAGTGCGAGAGCTCCGCTGGCGCAGGCGCGGCACCACGTACCTGTGCTGCCGGTCCACCCCAGCGCTCGGTACTGCTGGAGCACCCTGCCCACGGCCTTCTGATTTTTAGCCACGGCCACAGCTCTTGACAAGCCGAATCGCTGCTTGTAGTATCTCATCAACGAGCGATGACCCACTCTGGCACCTGTTGTTCAAAAGAGCGACATTTAACACGGGGCTGCACGCTGCCGCTGAGGCAACTAGGAAGGGACGGCCTTCCAAAGCCGCCCTTCAGCCACCGGCCTGAAGAAACAGTGCTTTAGCTGTGAAAGGAAAACGAAGCAGCTTTTTAAAATACACGGAATAAAACAAAGCAAGAGCAAGCCAAGGGCAGGTTGTTAAAAAGAGAATGGCTAGTCACTGTTGAATGAAACTATATCCTGTACTTACAAACATACGATATTTATACTAATTCCAATAAAAGGATAAGGAGGTAAGGGATTTTTAGACTTTTTTTAAGAGAGAAGATGCTTAGTTTTACAAACCTCAGAGTCCAGAACAGAAAATCCACCCTGGTTTTGCTCAGATTATACCAATGATTTTCTAACAGGTGCCATCTTTACCCCCCAGGGGACAATGGCACTCACTAGAGACGCTCTGGGTCACAACTTGTCACAACTGAAGAGCTACTGGCATCTAGTGGCGAGAGGCCCGCAATGCTACTAAACACGTGAAAATGTGGGAACAGGCCCCTGACAACGTGTTACTTGGACCACACCGTCCGCAGTGCTGAGGCTGAGGACCTGCTCAGTGCTTCTGAAATGACAGAAGTCACCGGTGAACTAGAAGTTTCAAAGATGACTAAACAGAATTCTCTTTACAGTTTTCACTTATTCAGAAAAATCTGGTACAACTCTGAGTCTGTCATGCTTTCAGAATGAATTTCTAAGTTTACCTCCCAGCCTATTCTGATGTATTCCAATATACAACTGTGTACACCATCTCAGAGGTCGTTATCAATTCTAATACAGAGGAGAAAAAGAAAAGCCTCGACATTTCAAATAAGAAAACCACGGGACAAAAAATTGGCCACTGAAAGCCTTGGGACATCTACAACTGCTCTAATAAAAAGCCGAGGAAAGACGGACATTAACTGGAGGAACGATTCCAGGTTCCTGCTTAAGGGAGCGGCACATCTGACGTCAGCATCAAGGTGTGGCAAACTGCAGCAGAAGGACCAAATCCCCCAGCAGCCTCTGGTTTACTGCACATACACCCCCCACGCCTTCCTGCTACCGTGCAGAGACGAGGAGCTGCGGTGGACACAGAAGGGTGCACAGCCCGAACCCGTGGTGGCAAACCTACAGCACGCGTGCCGCGGAGGGCTCTTTGTTATTACTGAAGGCTCTAAAAGGTTCACCGTCCCTGGCCAAACTCTTGCCTCTCTGGCCCTTCATAGGAAAATGCCCAAGTCTGTGTCTTAGCTTCTCAGCAGATGAAACCAAAAAGGAAAGGTTTCAGGCATGATCAATTCCAGGGCCCAGCGGCCAGGGAAATCAGTGTCTGCTGCAGCTTACTAAATACATATCAGCTAAGCCTCGCCAAGAATATTAACGAGGACACAAGCAATCTAACACCTTCCCAGACAGACACGCACACGTGGTATTTCACAGCACGCACCCGAGCACACAGCTGCCACTGCCACTGGAAATGAGTGCGGGAATCCGGCCGGGTGGAAGAGTTTTACACATATACCAACCTTTCGGAACTTTGGGTAAAAGACCAAGAAAGAGATACCAGGAGTGGTGTGGAAGGCTGTGTTTGCTCTTAGGAAACAGACCTTCAAGCTGAGAGGGAAAAACTCTCAAGGTTGTTTTAAGGCCCTACACCTGGCGAGACATTCGGAATAATTCACTTGCCACACAAATATGGGAAAGCAGCTACTTTCAGTGCCTGCTCTGTGACCCTGCTCAGGAGATGAGAAAGCACCTGTCGCCGTGGCATTGGGATGCCGATCGGGATGAAGTGCGTTTCTCCGGGAGCAGAGGCCTTCGCGAGCCTGGACCACGAGGTCGAAGTGTGAGGAACTGAGGTAAGGGGTCCAGCTTGAATGGAGGCCCACGAGGAAACCCCGGCGGTATTCGTGGTGATTTCCTACTTACACCGTGAGGGCATAAAGCTTCAGGTTTGCGATGATAACAATCCCCAAACCAGTAAATGACAATGTTGGTTTTAACTACCCAACACGTGTTTTCTTAAGCAACATTTAGAAATACGTCTGTTCCCAACAGCTGGCAGAGAAGTGGAAACACGGTGTCTGGAGCGCCTCCCCGTGTCCACGACAGCGGCAACTGACCTCAGCCCCGAGTGGAAAGTGCTAAAGCGCAGCTCAGGACGGCCTCGGCAAGGAGGCTCCTCAGCACGCAGCATGACTGCCGAAGACTACAGGCTGGACGCGCCTGGGTTACGGGGACCGCCGCGGTCCATCCAGCTTCCCCGCATCACAGCTGGTTACTACACGGTCCGTTCCTGTTTACCAAACAGGAACGCCACGTGATACTGGGAAAGGAGCCACTCCGAGCTGTAATTTTCCCAAGATTAACTATGCAGTTCTCACAGAGCAACGCCTGTTTCATCTGGCTAATCCACAGCTAAAGCGATGTGTTGTTCACACCAGCTTCCGCCACAGGAGCTGAAGAGCAAGGAAGAGAACGCCAGGAACGGAGCCAGGCCAACCTTCCAAAGACATGCTCGCGGCGCCCTCTACTGGACGCTTTGGTCACCGCTTTTGGGATCATCTGCACATTTTACGGATGTGCAAGCTGAGTAACTAGACTCAGGATGTCACAACTGTCGCTCTTGAAATCAGCTTATGCACTGTGTCTTCAGTGTAGTTGGCCAGATATCAACAAGCTCTATATATTAGAGTCCTTATCAAATTGATTTCGATATAACATCTACACTAACTCAAATCTACACTAACTCAAATCGTACAAAACAGCATTCGGAAGGTTTCTGAGCGGTAATGTGTTCAAAGAGGCGCACGGGGGTACATTCACTGCCGCTACATTCTTCAGCAGCACCTGGTCAGCGTTTGCTTGGTTCATCACAAAGCCCCAAACAAGCACTGAGGTACAGGACCGAACCAGCAGACTGTCCTAGCTCACCCTGAACATGACGGACTAAAGCATGATTGGCTTTTAAAATCTGAGAGGGTAATACAGGCGACACTAAAAGTGCTGTGCCGACCCAGATGGTCTGAATGTTGGTGGATTTGTGTTTACTCAGAAATCTGCATTTCTGCCATTTAAACAAAACCCATTCTGGGGGCTCGATCATCTGGAGGCCTGCGATTTGCACTTGGATGCCTTCACCTGTGGCTCTCCATCTCCTCTAAGTCACAGAGCCTTTCGATAAGCTACAGCCTCTTCCCCGGAAAATATACGCGCCCACAAAGAAAACTGTGTGCAGCTTCATTACGAATGCCTGGGCTGCGAGCACAGTTTCTGGCTCCTGGTTACGTCTTTCCGGAGCCTAAGGTACAGCATCTGGCAGATCTCTAACGCTACACCGCTTACCTCACCACTGCCAAGTCAGCGTCAGCACAGCCGAGTTTACTGTCCAGTCTTTCAAATAACAAGACTCAGAAACCGGACCCACCGCTGTTAACAAGGAAGCCAGCTCATCTCAAGCCATCTTCTTCTTGACACAGGGGCAAGCAGGCCCTTCCCCGGCTCAGAGAGATGCAGACAGCACAATGCTCAGCCCTGCCAGCCCCCGCCTGCCTTTTCCTTTACCGTCACAGGCCAGGGGAGCCGACCATGCCTTCCGCTAAACGTGGCCTCCACCTTCTCAGCCATCGAACCTCTTGGAGGCCAAGAGCATGTGCTGAGAGGAAGAGACAAAAGAGGCCGTCTCTAAAAGTAGGAAGATGGGTAGAAGGACTAACTTCCCACACTCCATAGCACACAGGCTAACGACAGTTACAAAAATTATTTCGAACAGCTAACAGAATACTTTAATGTTCTCAATACACACAAAGAAATGATCTATGTCTGAGCTGACAGGGACGCTAATTATTCTGATTGGATCATAGAACACTACATGCCTGCCTTAAAACGGCACACTGCACCCGATCGATCAGTGCAATTACTATGTCGACTTATATATATGTTCATTTTTTTAAAGTAATGGCGGAAGAGGAGCGAGCAAGTCAACAATCACAGGAACGAGGTGAACATTATGACAGACAGCAAGTCTCCAAGGAGCAGACACTGCTTATTACCCAGCAGAACAGACAGGAGAGGCTCATGAGGGCTTCCCGGAGGCCTGTGGCCCCTCGCAGGAGCAGAGGGCTAAGCAGCCACTGCACACACAAGACCCGGGCGAGGGCCTCCGAGGGGTCGGGACTCCAGGGAGGAGTGTGGGGAGACCCAGTTACCCAGCAGGCCATGGCCCCCACTGCAGGAACTGCAGAGTAAAGTAAGGCTGCGGCGTCTACACAGAACGTTCACCCCTCCGTACCTATAGGGAGCTGGTGCTAGGGCGAACCCCCAGACACCAAAATCCAAAGACACTCAAGTCCCTTATACAAAGTGGTACACAACAGCTGCAGAGGCACATGCATGTAATCCAGCTACTTAGGAGGCTGAAGCAGGAAGACCTCAAGTTTGAGGCCAGCCTGGGCAACTAACTTAGCAAGGCCCTGCCTTGAAATTAAAAAAAAAATAATAAACTAAAAATAAATTGTAAAGGGCTGGGGATGCAGTGCAGTGGTAGGATGTTTGCCTAACATGACCGAGGCCCTGAGTTCAACCTCTAGGCGCGCGCGCACACACAGTGCTAGCGTACCTGTATACAACTTATACACACCCTTCTGTATACTCTACATCATCTTTAGATTACTTTTAATATCCAATGTGATATAAATGCTATGAAAATAGTTGTTATACTGTTTTATTTCAGGAATAATGACAAAGAAAAACTTTCTGTACATTTCTGCTACAAACGCACTTTTCCAAAGTATCTCCACTTCCTGATTGGTGGAGTCTGTGCGCGTGGAAATCACAGACGGTTTCTCATGTGCACACTTCACCAGAGGAAGACAGGAACAGACGGGGCGCCCTGTCACTGGGGGTGTGAGCAACACCAGAAAGCGAGCGCCATGCGTTCAAAGAGAGTGACAGGACCTAACCGGGGCCCTTCCGGGAAGCGAGTTTGTGCACGTTCGGCAGACACACACAGGAGTTCTTTGGATCTTGTCATCCGCCCTCTTGCCTCTTCCCCTTTAGCTTCCCACTGCGCCTCTGTAGCACCCCTATTCTTACCAGCCAATTGCAAACGTCTTTACTCAGGATTATTCCTCATCTCCTCATACTTGGGATCAATCCCTCCATGAACCCTACTTCCCAAAGAGCAGGCACAACTCTAGCCCCAAGCCTCCGCTACAAACGGAAGAGACAGGCAACCCAGGTGCTCAGTCTGGTCCGCACACACCAGACCAGTTGGGCCGTGGAAGTCTGAGCGATGCAAGACACCGGAACCCCAAAAGAAATGCCCTCCCACTGAAAGGACAAGGATTGAATGGAAAAAAGTCTTCATATTTTTTAAAAAACCACCTAATCAAACCATGCTGAGTCAAAAGAAACCAAAAACATGCTAAGTCCTACCAAAAAGGAGCAAAAGTATTGATCCAATTTAAACAAAACAGCCACTTAGAGCTAAGCAGCGACCTGCAGAGGGTACGAGCCCACGAGAACACATCGCTTGAAGCCTCATGTTCATCAGGACAGCAGGGACCTGAGGGAGACCCGCCTCCTCCCCGTCCACTGGGCTGAGCCCTGTGTCTGGCAGGTGTACCTACCCGAAGGCAGAATCAGCTCCATGGTCTCGTCATCATATTCCAAGTTCCTTTCTGAAGGCAGCTCCTCGGTCTCAGCAGGGTCCTCCCCTTCCTTGTGATCTGGGTAGCTACTCCTGAAACGGAGAACCAGAGTTAATCAGTAACCACCTCATATTTAACTAAAAAGCATGAACGGCATTTGCGAATGTGGCAAACCCACTAGCTACTTTAAAAAGACAGAAGCTGCCAATTGAATGAGGTTAGAGAGAAAACGACTTGTTTACATTTCTGAGCAGTAAAAGTGAGCAAATAACCTACAGAAGAATTTTTCCTATTTGTTTCTCCCTAGATTATCAAATGCAGAGGAAGAATACTGAACAGGATAGACGCATAGCTCCAGTCAAATTAACCATTACGAAAACAAGTTCCAGGACAGTGGCACCCAATAGAACACTGCGATGAGAGAAATATCTGATGTCTGTGTGCCCTACATATTTGCTCTAGACCTGTGCGCTCTGAAACACTCAGCTTCAGAATGCAGGCTATAAATATACATAAAAAACTGAGTATTTTAAGCTTACCTTTTATTCATTTAAATAATCACAAAGGTATATCTAGTAATTACTGCACTGGACAGTGAAGTTCTAGAAGAATCTGTTCCCAGAAATATTCACAAATTCCTATTTACTCAGATATGGAGAACAGTTGGAAAAATGCACATAAAGCCATCCAACCCAGTGGAAAAATGTACAAAAGCCAGGAGAAGCCAGGATTAAATACCTCATAAAAAGATCTCCAAATGGCCAATACACAAAAGACTCTCAATTACATTAATCATGAGGGACATGCAAATTAAAACCACTATACACCCACCAAAGTGGCTAAAATAAAAAACTCTCCCTCAAAGTGGGAGTATCAGGGCCACTCTGGAGAACAATTTGACAGCATCTTCTAAAACTGAACGTATGTACATCCTTCAGTCCATATCCTAAAAACACACAACACAGGTAACATGCGCAGATGTGCCAGGCTCCAGAATGAGGTAGCAGCATTACTGGAGTAGCCTCAAGCTGCTACAGCAGTCAGGCATCGTCAGCACTCAACACAAGCTGCTCCAACAACAGAAGGAACGAACGGGGACTGCACGAACAGTATGGGTGCATCCCACACAGGTGAAACGGAACAGCAGGCCAGGCTGAAACAGGCACTCCTGTGCAATCCTGCTTATATGAGATGAAGAAAGAGCACAAGCCTGTCTAGGCGGTCACAGGTTGGAACAGCAGCTACTCTAGGAGTATGGAGCGATCGTTCCTAGATGTACACACAAGGGAAAGGTCAGGGTATCATTAATATTTTGTTTCTTGATGTGGATGTTTGTTATATTTAAAATTTCACTGGGCTGAATTAGGTATTATGGGTATATGTTAATGTATTTTTATGCAAGTTTATTCTTCAATATAAAATTTCAAGTCAAGCATCAGTTGACCCTCGTTAGCGAGGATGGAATTATAGGAAATCTGTTCATTTTCCAATAAGGTAAATCCACATAATATGCTTAAGGGTCTGGAAAGTAATAAGCACCCAATAAATGCCAGCTTTGTGTGTGAAGATTTTCCATTTCCCAAATTTTCTTTACTGAGAATTTCATCAAGTTTTTTAAGGTAAATAAATCATTTCATATTCATTTTTATAAGACTCTTTTACCATTTCTCATTTCTAGGAACCAACAGAATAAGCTGTAAATGAAGTCCAAAAGAGCCAACATTTGGACTCAGAAATTCACTTCTTGAACCATTAAGATCAAGTATAAATTTTCACTCAAACTGACTGTCTGGGCTATAGTCGGTAACAAAACAAAAGGCCCTGCCCCCTAGATCCTGGGAGACAATGTAATGTATAAAACGGCAGTAAGGGCTACGGGGAAAAACAAAAGAGGAGATGCAGACTGGACAGGTACTTCTATTTCATAGAAGGCAGCCAGGGAGGGCCACACTGGTAAAGAAAAACTAAGCCAAGTCCTGCAGGAAGGGAGAGGACAAGTCGTATGACTACCTGAGAAAGGCTACAGGCAAAGGTAATAGGAAGTACAAAGGTCCAGAGAAACACACCGTGTATTAGAAGGTCGGCTAGAAACCCCAATAGGAAGAATTAGAAAACACCAGAACCACAGCTGTGACCAGAGGGGCCACTACACACGGGACTCTGGGCTACTAAACTTCGGCTTTTCCCTTAAGACAAGAGGCGCACGAAGACTGAGCAGAGTATGGTCTGACAGCACGCTGGAAAAGAATCACACTGTGGCAACCTGTGAGCACAGAATGTCGGTGCTAAGAATGAAGCTGGAAAACCAGGTAGGAGTCACTGCACAAGGCCCATGAAAACTAACCCTGACCTGGACCCAGGGAGCAGCAGCACTGGAAAAGAGAAGTAGTCATATCCAGAAGACAACCCGAAGGCAGACAGAGCAGAACTTGGTGACAGGTTCATGGAAGGATGAAAAAAAATTAGAAAGATGACCACAAGGGTTTTAGCTTAAGTAACTGGAAGGCCAGAATGACCACTTATTTCAGGAGGAGCAGGTTACAGTGCATAAGAGAAGTTTGATTCTGGATACAGTAAGGTCAGGACAGCTCGATATGTAAGTCTGAGGAGAAGGGGAAGGTTGTCTAAGAGCTATAAATATGGGAGTCACAAACCTACAGGGAGGTGCTGAGATCTCTGAGATCTTTGGCCACTCTCGCTAGAACAGGGGTCAAAAGGTCACAAACACTGCTGTCTGGCAGGAAATTTGAGAGGGTGAATACTGGCTACCACCTGGAAAATGCCCCGACCCCCTACCAGGCCATTTTCCTCACTGCGACCACCTCTGTCCCCTTAGCCCACCAACTGTAAGTCTTCAACCACAAAATGAGAAGTTAAAGAGAAACTGCAAAAAGAAGTTTTAGAAGACTAAGCCTGCTGAACACCAGTGTCATCTGGGCGGTGCCTGCTTGGAATGGTTATTGTAAGCACCTGCCTATCTACTATGCTACATGATAGGAATTTTGACCCAGGAACTGGTTGTTAATGAACGCCTAACGTAGATCTGCTGCACAATGTACAAACACCTAAAGATTCCAGTTAGGGTTAAACCACTTATGGGATCATTTCACCACCAAATGTCAGGGTATGGCCTAGTTTAGCCACCACCTCAACTATCTTAGGAGACAGCCTGTGACTCAAGGTCTCTCCGGACACTGGAAACATATAACCAAATTTCTACACCTCTGTTAGTTGGTAACCAATAACACTAAACTCCTGATGATTAAACTACAAAAACAAGTCAGGCAAACTTCAGTTTAGGGATCTTCTCTCCTAGGTGTATTAAACTCAAACTGATTTTCTTAATCAGGATAAAAGTGGTATATGGATTATTAATACGGTGTACAACATCACTTCAATGCAAACATGACGACCACAGTCCTCCCGGCCATACCTAAAATCATAGAAGTCTGCAAATTCCAGAGCAGCATCACCGTCTGTGAAGAGCTTACAGTGGCTTTTGTCATTCATATGGGCCTGTACAGCTTCAGTGGAGTAGAAGGACTTCCCTTTCTCATTGCACCACAAGCAAATCTTCCCAACACCAACTTTTTCACCTGGTCAAATAATTTTGAGGGAAAATATGAACAAAAGCTTTCTTTCAGCCACAGTAAATCTGATCACTGATCTCTGAAATTCAAACACCAGTCACTAAGTTTTTAATTTACACAAGCTTAGCAAGTAATTAAGCCAGAGTTTGATGACAAATACAAAACTAATAATGTTCCCTTAAGACCTGCCCTTTTCCTTATTAGGAAAGCTACCATACCTACCCAAATATTTAATCAGTCCCTTAAGGTCAGAGAGATACTCTATGTCAGGAATAAAGAAACTGTGGACTTTAGTCATGTGAGCCACGTTCTTCACAAGGGAGCTTGAATGATGGGAACAGAACAAGCAGTCCGTTACGGGGATGGCTCCTAGGCATGGGCTTTCCCCAGCTTCATCGTCCTTCGCTTCCAGCCCGTCCAAGTCATCCACGACCTCAGTGTCTTCCATCTCCAGTTCTTCCTCAGAATCAATATCTTCCCAATCTTCAAGACAGAGTTTTGAAAAAGAAAGTTAATGTAAGAGAAGTGGTAACTGCAATCAAAGCTATCACAATGGCTCACACAAAGTGGTCCATCTGGGGAGACCAGGCTCCAATTCCATCCTCCTAGACATTCCTCTTTCAAAATCTCAATTTTAGCCATTCCTTGACCACAGACAAGTTCGTGTGGCCAAGAAACCTCCTAACCATTCTTCTCCAGGGTACAATAACTTCTAGGCTTCTTTTCTACACTTCGCAGCACCTAGCCCAGTGCAGGACACACAGTTCAATGGTCAGCCAATACACATGGCTGAAGAGTTGTACAAACTGCTGTTAACAATGTCTACCATTTCACTGGAACACTATGGAGCGTGTGCATGCTGGTGGTGGGATGCAACACAAACTCCTGCAGTTTCACTGCGTGTGCCCCTCCCCGGTGAAACCTAAGCATCAATGTGATGCTGTCAAGAAGTGGGGCCTTCTAGGAGGGGATCAGCACTCTGCTCTCAGGAATGAACTAGGGTTCTTACAGAGGGCCTGAGGGAACTCCCTTGTCCCTTCTGTCATTCCCATCAGGTGAGGAAATCACAAAAACAGCCCTCCCCCACTCCACCCCCATGGACCAGGCCTTCAACAGACAACGAATCTGCTAGTACCTTGATGTTGGCCTCCAAACTTCAGAAAATAAATTTGCATTGCTAATAAGCTATCCAGCCTCTGGTACTTTGTTACAGAGGCACAGATGGACTAAGGCATGAACTTACGTTAATAGGATATAGGATGAGGAAAGAAATAAATAGCTCATAAAATCAAAGAGGCTAGGTTGATGGCTCAAGCTCCATTTTTCAGATTTGCTAGCTCATTTTGAGCCCCTCATTCAGTTTGGGTTTGTTATTGTTGTTGTTTTGTCTTTTTCGAGACAGAGTCTCTCTGTGCAATTCAGGCTGGTCTTGAACACACTTTGTAGCGCAGGCTGGCCTCAAACCGGCAACAATCCTCTTGCCTCAGCCTCCCCAGTGCTGAGATTACAGGCGTGCGCCACCACGCCCAGCTACCCTACTGTTTTAATCCACTAAACTAAGCACCAACCCATAGTAACGGGAAATTCGCTAGATTCACAAATTCTGTAAGCAGGGTGCCAACAGCATGTCCTCGTGTGCAGACATCATAAAGTTCCTTGTCCAAAATGGACGAGACGTCAATTCATCCTACAAATATTAATGAAGTACGTATTTTCCCCAGGCATCGTTATAAGCCCTGAATGTACAATAGAGACCCTAACAGACGAAACTCCCTGCGAGGATGCGAGCCGGAGAAGACACTTCGCAAAGCCCTGAAAGCCCTTCACGCACCATTTTCACTTACACTCTCACGCTCCTCGGGTTTAAATGGGGGAGCCGAACGGGCACCAACCCCTCTCCCCCCACACCCGGCCATTACCTTCTTCATCCAGCTCCTCCTCCTCCTCCTCCTCGCTCTCCTCCCCCTGCTGCTTGGCCAGCTTCTTCGCCTGCTGTTCAAACCACTGCAGCCGGGGCGGTTTCTCCGCGGGGTCCCGGTCGTGCGCCCCCCGTCCACCGGCGGCCACGGCCCTGCCCGACTCCTCGGCGGGCACGGAGGGCGCCTTCTTGGGGGACACGGACGGCTGGGCCTTGATGGCCTGCTGGATGGCCGCGTTCATGGCGTCCTTATTCACGCCGTCCGCACCCAGCCCTTTCTCCAAGTTCTTCTCGTTCATCATCTCCACCTTCCGGTTCACCGCCTGCACGGCCTTCTTCTCCAGCTCCACGTGCCGCCGGGACCTGAGGTGGTTCTCGTAGGCGTTGAACGACGCGAACTTCTTACTGCACACGGTGCAGTAGGTGGCCGTGCCCTTGCCCTCCTCCTCCGCCACGGCCCGCTGAACGCGCACCCGCTCCTGGAAGCCCTCGGCGGTGACCGGGGCCATGCCCGCCACCTTTCGCCGCAGGTTGTAGCGGTGCCAGTCCGTCTTGTAGTGGGCCCGCTGCAGCTCCGCGTCGCGGAACGCCACCCGGCAAGTGATGCAGGTGTACGTCGCCATCGCTAGGCGAGAAGTCAGAGGCGACTGAGCCAAGAATCTAGCGATCAACGTTCTGGCCCACGAGACAGAAGCCCTTCACTCGTCTCACCAGACACGGAAAGCCACGAAGCGTCTGACGTCCCGATTCCCTCTGCAGGAACTTCTTCCGACACACACCGGAAATAGTGACAGTTGGACAGGAAGCCCCGCCTCTCACCTCTGGTCCCGCCCCGGAAGACAAGGGACCCAATGACTGATCAGATTCTGATTCCGCCTTGTCCGCCCGGAGTGGGCGTGAATGGGGCGCCGCACCCTCCCGGTGACAGTCCTGCAGTTCCCGGACGTGCTGGAGGTGTGACGCGACTGGGGCGACGGCGGTGCCACAGTCGGGGAGACGGGCACCCGGCCTGCCTCGCGCCCTGGGAGGCTCCAAGGAGAGCGGCCGGAATTCCCGGCGGACCTCGCGCGCGCCCCGGAAGCCGGGTCTCCGGGGTCACGAAAGCCCTGGGTCGGATCCGGAACCGCCCCTCCGGGCTGGATCACAGGCGGTCGGACGCCGGGGCCCCTCTTTGGGCGAAAAAAATGCAGTTTGCCGGCTAGGGGCCTGTAGCGCACGTGCAGTGTTGAACCTAAGAGCAGCCACATCGTTTTTGTTTTTACGTAAAAACAGGTAAAATTACTCTTACTAGTACATTTATTGGGGCTAAGGATTTAGCTCAGCGGCAAAGCGCCTGCCTGGCAAGCGCAAGGTCGTGAGTTCGATTCCTGGTACCGGAAGAAAAAAAAAAAAAAAAAAAAATACATTTATTTAACCCAGTCCATCCGGAATATCATTTCAACGTGTAATCAGCTCAAAGGAATTGAGATACTTTATATTCTTCCGTTGGCATTCAATCATCTTGAAAACGCAGGGTGTGTTTTACAATTAATTGTCGATCTCAATTCAGACTGACCCAGCGGGTTGCCCAGCTAATCCAGTATACTGCACATCAGACCGCACAGTTTTATAGAAAACATGAGTTTCAAAGGCGTAGGGATTTCATAGAAAGAGTTGTTTTTTGTTTTTTTTTTTTTTAATGTGTATACATCTATAGGTCAAACCATGCTGCTCTTTTTGTTCAAAACCCTCCCTTGGCTTCCCTTGACTAGAAATAAAATCCAGACACCTTCCTTTGTGTTTTATGAGGCCTCTGAGTACCTGCCACACCTCAACCCCTACTTCGATTTTCTGCCACACCCGGTCAACCACGTTGCTCACTTTGGTTGCCATAGTGACATTTTTTGTTCTAACAAGGTATGCTTTGTTGCTGTTCTTACAAATCCTCTACTTTTCTGCTCTGAAGGTCTTTCTGCTGCTTTGCTCTCCTTTGACATCTGTGCCCCAATGCCAGATAAGAGAGTAAACAGTAATCCTAACCCGAATTGTTAAATCCTTACCAGGCATGACTTTCCTTCATAAACCCTATCAGGTATCTGTTCATCTGTATCGAAATAAACTGGAACTTAAGATCGAACTTTATCTCAGTATCTGCAGGTCGGGCATTCGAGTGCCCCCCTATCTGAGTGGTTCTGACTCCATTGCATGATGTTTCAGTGAACACAAGGCCAAAGCTGAGGTCACTAAAGGGTGGACCACTTTACCTTGGCTGGATCAGAGGGACTCATTCAGAACTGAGGGCAGGACTTGGTTGCCCTCAAGTGGGCTGCTTGACTGTAAGATGGCCTAAGACGCAACTGGTTTCCCCCAGAGAGCGCAGAGCCACACTAGCTCTTGTGACCTAGCCTTAGTTATTTCCACTGTCATTGTGCTCTAATGTAGGTCCGCCCTGTTTAACATGAAAGGGGATTAGAAAAGGGCATGAATACAAGAAGGTGGCGTGGGTCACTTTGGGGTCCACTTTGAGAGACCCTCTCACTACCATTTGGTGTTTATCCCTGATTTCCCAATCAGCACTGGAAGTCCTGCATTGGAAGGAACTTTCAACTCTGCACAAACTAGAATAGCCAGTTGCACGTTAGTCATCTGCATCTAAAATGTAAGTTTCTTGAGGGCAGGCACTCTTCCTTGGTGTATTCCACAGTTCAAGAACAGTGCTGGCACATAAGACTGTTCAGTTTAGCTAAAAGAATAATTCTGCAGTGCAAAAGTCTGGTGGTGGTTTTTATTTCAGAAAACTTGGTTTGGATTGTCAAAACCTTTTGAAGTAGCTAAGCTCTCTGGACAGATACTTGCTTTAAAAAATATAACAAGCATTAGTCATCAACTGGAATAAGAAAAACAATATATTTTCAAGCTTCCCGTTAAAAAAGAACAAGTAGGTATAAAAAGTAAAGAACTTCTGGTTTTACTTTTCCTTATGTTTTTTTTTTTTTTTTTTTTTTTTTTTTTTGGTCTTTTTGAGACAAGGTCTCAACTCAGTAAGTTCAGGTTGGCCTTGAACTTACTTGTAGCTCAGGTTGGCCTCAAACTCGCAGTGATCCTCCTGCCTCAGCCTCCCGAGTGCTGGGATTACAGGCATGCACCACCGTAGCCAGCCTTGTTTTATCATTTCTGTGTGGTTCTTATAGCACACCATTCTTCAGGCAATTAATTTTTTCCTGCCTCCTCCACTATGTTTCCACGATCCTCTGGGGAATTTCAACATCTTTGAATGTACTGTTTTCTTTATTTTTCCTTTTCAAGGGGGCATTGTTTTCTCCACTGTATTATTTTTCCAATAAACTACAAAGAGAATAGGCTTTCGAGTCAGACTGGTTTTTAACCCCTCACTAGTATGTGACCTTAGACAGTTTCTTTACTGTTTTTCACCACAATGCTCTTAATTTCACTTACTAGAGATGAAGCCTGTTACCTTGTCCCCAGTGTTCAAAAGATAATTAGATGAGGTGGCGGGGTTGTACCCTCATGAGTGGAATGAATTATCGATGGAGAGGCTGGGTCAGTTTTCTCAAGACTGGATTAGGGCTCTTAAGAATAAATTAGGTCTTCAGGGACTGGATTAGTTACCACAATAGTGCTTTGTTTAAAAGCTGTTGCCCCCCCATGTGACCCCTCTCCTACACACACCCACCTTCACTTTCACCTTTCCTCCAGGCATGGAGCAGAGCATGGGCCTCACCACAAGCCAAGCAGATGTTCTACCATTTTTTGTATGCCGTGTTCCTGGAGCTCCAGAACTAGGAGTTAAATGTCTTTTATTTATAAATTGCCCAGTCTCAGAGGTTCTGCTATAGCAACAGATTGGACTAAGCCACCATTTAATTGTAGAGTCATGAGTAAACAGGATCCTAGTAACTATGTCTTAATCCAAGGATTAGTATATTTTTCCCATAAAGGGCCAGGTAACAATACTAGGTTAGGTTTTGTAGGCCTATTGTCTCTATACAGCTATTCAGCACTGTGATATAAAAGTGATCATAGATGATACATAAATGAATGAAGATGGCTATGCTCTAAACTATAGATTCTGAAATTTTATTTTCATATTTATTTCATGGCACAAAATAGTCTCCTGGGTTTTTCATCAACTGTTTAAGAATGTGGAAATCATTCTTAGCTTGTATGCCATATAAAAATGGATAATAAGACTAGAGTGGGGCCCTGGTCATGATTCGCCAAACTCAGCCTTGGGATGTTTCATCCTTGCAACAACCTACGAGGTCAGCACTACTTATCTTTCTCTTGTAAATGAAAGAAACTGATACAAACTTGGTAGGTGACCTTCCTGGAGTCCACACAGAATCATTAAACATGACTAGTACAGACGCTTAGACACAGTCCCCAGAGCCAATTTAAGTGACAAACACTTTTGCTATACCTCCCATTTATTCCACAGACGTTGCACTTTCAGGCCAATACATTGCTACACCATTAAAAGAACTTCATCGTTTTCTTGTAAGCAGATACTTGTTGGTTGCCTTCGTTTTAATATTTGAAATAATGGCTTAGTTGGGACACATGCAGGGAAAAAAAAAAAAAATCAATGTTTTATATAACCTTTTCACCCCTGAAATTGCTTTATACATTCATTCATTCATTCATTCTCAAAGTATCCCTGTGTGAAAGGATATGAATTAACTTCCTTATTTTATGTTTAGGGATAGCTACTGTGCCTGTCACATGACTCTGACTTTACATTTTAAGGCCATACCATTAACATCATAACCTGAACCTATATTTCCACATTTCTTTCTAACAAAAATGTTGCAGTGGAGATGAAGGAATAATACACAAAAATATAGTTGGGACTTTCTGTATTGTTTTTTGGGGTTTTTTTGTTTTTCTGGTACCGGGAATTGAACTCTCAACCTTGTGCTTGCCAGGCAGGCGCTGTGCCACTGAGCTAAATCCCCAGCCGAGTTGGGACTTTCTAACAGCATCATGGTACAAATGATCTGTGCTATCCCAGTTCAGTAAGGCTTTTCACAATAATCTGTCTTGTATCGATGGAGCAGTGTAAAGAAATACACGAATAATAAACAGAAAATAACAAAGTAATAAACACAAAATAAAAACGTTATAATTTTTTCTAAAACAAATGTGGGCGCCGGGGATATAGCTCATTGGCACAGCGCCTGTCTGGCAAGTGCAAGATCGTGAGTTTGATTCCCGGTACCAAAAGGCGGGCGGGGGTGGGGGGGTCTCCTTCTGGCTAGAATCAGTTATATCCTGTCATGTGTCATGTCTTAAGAGAGATTGAGCTTACTTTAAAAGAGAATCAAGTGCATACATATATTGAGGATATTTGCCAACTGTAAAAACCTTATGCAAGTTTCTTTTGTAATATTCTACTAAACTAGAGAGGGGGCTGTTCTTTTCAAAATCACTTTTGAAGATTTTTGAGGGAAATGAGAACATTCAAACTGGATGGCCTGTCAAAGTGAACTCCAACTTCTTTACCACTACTGTATTGTTTCAGAGCAAAATACACAATACAGGTATACTGCATGTACTTGCAACAGGAAGTGCATAAAACCCTGGTTCTCATTTTAATGACTGCACTCCACTTAGATCTCACAAGGCCATTCTTTATCAGCGTTTTAGACACTCAAGGAATGCTGCTATTGATTTAATTTTGCGTGGCAAAGATCCCCTGTCATACTGGATCAATCACAGGGTTTATTTGGTACTATATCAACACAGAAACAATGCCTCTACAAACACACACATGCACACAATCAACATCCTCACATTCAATTCAATCTACCACTATTATTTAAATTTGTAATCACAAATTATTGTACAAGCAGCATCAAATGTGTAGTTTAATGCTCCTCTCCAGAGACAGCTGGTGTGTCTCCTCAACAGGGCCGATGACAGCTTTCTACCCTACCAACCTTCCATCCCAAAACCTTTTAATTTGTAGTGTGTAACAATTTATTCTAGAGTTACTGTTCTTTCACATACATATTACCAGCCCTTGAATTTATCTTCTTGTAAGCCTGTCCACTGATTTATAACATATTCTTTGATTATGCGGTTATTTTAAATTCTTACTTTCTCCTCAATGAAGACACTGAAATGATGGTTAAACTTTTTGACTTCACAACCAGGAATATTTTTTAAATGAAGAAACACACATTTTTTTTTAAAAAAAGAATCCTGCTAATGACTATTTTATTAATACGTGATTGTATTTTCCCCCTCCTGTCCAGAAACTGTTATTGAATAGAATTCAGATGTATCCTTCCCAAACCACACAGCTCAGAGATTTTCTAACACAGGTTTACATCGGTACCAAAATGGGAAAGATAATGAAGGCACAGGCTCACTCGATATCATCAATAGAGGACATCAACATAGTCATGAGGCACTAACGACACGAGTACAGTCAATCACAAAGAGCAAGTGTTGAAAGCCGTCAGTAACTTTCTTCCCTTTAATGTTTGGCAAATTCAGTCTAGATAATTCAATACCTCAGAAAGAAAAAATAAGAGACGCTTCACTACAATATTGAATTTTAATTGAATAAAATAAGAATAACCTACAGTTATTCTTTAGAAATATAAGTAAAGGGATGAAATGAAAGAAGGGGAACAGATTTCCCCTATTCTTAGATTATCCTTCCTTCCTGAGGGTCCAGATGTCTGTGTATCTGTAGAAATGCCAGCTATACCTGAAGGTTTGAGAAATGTTTTACAGTTGCTGACATGGTCCCTCAATACTATTAAAAGCTTGTATCATAAGAACAAAACTATCTTGGTTTCTGCTTTTTAGTCTTTTGTTAAAAACTGTAAGCCAAATTTGATTATTAAAAGATGATCTAAAAAAGTTTAAGGCGAAGGAAAAAAATATACTCTAGCTTCCGAATAAGAAACAGATTACATATTTAGACTTCCAATTCCAAATAAATATTTGAAAGCCATCTATCTTTCCTATCTATACAGACTAAGAAAACAAGAGTTATTATTTCTTTATTGAGATGACAACATGATTCATAGAACATATCAATAACTAGTTTCACAATTTTAGGCGACATTTCCCATGACACGATATAAAATAGGAACATTTAACTTAGGTGTGAGCAGGCAGAATAGATCGGTACTCATGACATCCCAATTACAGCGGACCAAAATGAACAACAAAACAGCCACATCTCTGGTTAATCATAACTTCCATCTGTGTGATACAGAACTACGTGCTTTCTCTGGGTTAGGACCGCCCGTCACAAGACTGGAGGTGGCAGTCAATAAGCATGCCACTTTAGAAGCCTGCCTCAATCTACAATTGCAGAAAGAACATGGAAATGTTCCAGCCCAGCTGTAGTTCTTAGTTTTTACATTAATTTTGAAAATATTTCCCAAGTCCTTCAACTAAAAGATATTTTGATAATTTCTGTCTTTTTACATCTAAACTTACCAGTTTTAAAAAATTATTTCCAAGTATTAGGAACAAGGGAGCTGAGACAGCATGTATTCACATTAATTGTTAATATTTTCAGTGGGTTACAATAAACTTTTGCATGCTTGAAAATTAATTATAAAGAATACTTATAGAAAGATCTTAATAATTTGGTGTTCGGTTTTTATTTCTTTTTGCTTTAAAAACAACTCCTAATATTTCTGACAACATGGTCTATATGTATATGAAAGTTCATTTCCATGCTTATTACATAAAAATAACTACCAGAAATATCAATCTATCCGTGTCAGCTGATACATAGCCAATTAATTCACTGCAGGAGGGAAAATAAAACAAAGAAAATCTAAAGTAATCATTAAAGCTTACAGTTCAAATTTTTTTCCGTTTTCCTTTTTTTTGTTTTTTGGTTTTAGTTGTTTAATTTTTGCTCAGGTGAAACTTTTTGGTGGTTTGTCTGTGCTCTGTTGCAAGCCCACTCCCTGCTTAATGGCCGCCAAGGAGATTGGAAAGGAAGCCGGAAGACTTCTTGTTTTGCCGCACTTCCGCTTCCTGGTCTTGTGTAAGTCCCAACTCACTCTCAATCTGATCCAGCTCTGACTGGTCAAGAAGTTCAAAATCATCCCCTTCTTCAGTGTCTGTGTCCTCCCCTGGGCTGGGCGCGGCCGGAGCCAGGGCTTGCTGAGCCCCTTCTAGCTGGTCTTTGATAGCAGCCGTCACTGCAGCTGTGATGACCTCCCCAGCCAGGTTGCTCATCAAGTTTAGGGCTTGGTCACTGTTCAGAGGAAGAGTCAGCCCAGCTGCTGACGGCCTCTCTCTGCTTGGTATGTGGCCACTGTCCAACTGATCCTTTTTCCTCTTGAGCTCAGTGGGCAATCCAAGGCTTAACTCATCTTCATCGTTTGTTCCTGTGCCATTTTCTACAGATGGAAAATCAGAAAGATCTCGAGAGAAAACTTCCTCACTAGGCCGGTCAAGATCTGTGAAAACATAATACAAGTTCATGCTTAAGCACCCCAACAAATTGGAAGTCTATTTAAAGCCTGTCTCTGATCCGACCCTTCCAAGCATCCTTGGCATTCAGCTAGGCTGCTGAATGAATGTGAATCATTTTAACCATGTATCGGACTTCTCCCCAATCGGTGACACTGTCTCCCCACAAATACACAAATACTACGTGTCCCCTACATCCTTACCTTTCCTCTTAAGCGCAAAGTGTATGTATGGCATAATAATTGAACCTTCTCTAACATGATCTTGTGGGTTTAACTAAAGCTTAGGGTTCATCACAAATATCCCTTCCTGCTAACATGAGAATCACTTTAAGGCAACGGGAATATGTACAATCATGAAATTTAAAAATACCTGACTTGCAGGTATTCATGGATTCTGGCACATCAGAAAGTAAATACGGCATTTCCATACGTGGAACTCTATTAGAGTATTTGCAACCTATGTTTGTTTAAAGCAATGAAAAGAAGCTACTGGTCCTTGTATTCCAGTTTGACCCAAGGGCTAATGGACACATTCGGCTCTCTTTATAAATATCACTGAAACTGAGCTTGCCATCATTGAGGACATCTGACAGCAGTACCAGATTAGAAGGCATGGGGCTGAGATGTGGCTCAGCAGCAGAGCTCTTGCCTTGCATGCACAAGGCCCTGGGTTCGATCCCCAGCAAACACAAGAAAGGAAAAAAAATTTTACATTAGGACGCAGACTGATGTTTATAGAACACCTTTTCATACAGTAGTTAACTTTTTGCAAGAGTGATTTGAAACCTTCAGTTTTAGTAAAGACAGCCTTACATGTGGGTGCCCTTTCGCTACTAGCAATGGTCACTGCACAAGCCTTGTCTCATTGTATGGTATTGATGGAATTTACAAAAAGCACAGTAAGGAAGAATGTGCTCTAACTTAAGCTGTATTTAACTTTCTTAACTCTGAAGACAAATATGAAAAACTGGAGTTAGCTTTGGACTCCGAAGAACCTGCCCTCCATACCTTCATCTCTTCTGATGAAGACGAAGTCTGACTACATAGGATTAGCTTTTCCCTTTCCCTTCTTCCATTATTGCTACAAGCAATGCTTCCAGACATTTCACAAAGTAACATTTTAAAATTTTTTATTTTCAAAATACGGCAGGTTTGGAGATAAGATTTTTTTCTCATAGTTTTAAAAAGCAACAGTATTTGACATAATGTGAATATACCATAAAATTGACTTTTTTTAAGTGCACAATTAAGGGGGTTTTACTATATTCACAAAACTGTACAAACATCACCACCAACTCCAGAACTTTTTCTTACTCCCAAAAGAAACTTGCACCAATGCAGCTGCCGTTCCCTTCCTCCCTTAGTCCTTAGTAAGCACTAAGCTACTTTTCTGTCTATATGGACTTGCTTTTTCTGCACATTTCATACTAATGGACTCACAAATTGTGTCCCCTTTTACGTTTAGCTTCTTTTGCTCAGCAAAATGTTCTTAAGTTCCATCCACGCTGTAGTAAGCATTAGCACTTCATTCATTTTTGGAGCAAAGTATTAATTTCATTGTATAGCAAATTACTATTTATGTAGTGGTTGATAGAAATGTTTTTACATGGACTCAATAATAAAAATAAGAGTTTATCTATAAAGACTAGCATACCATCGGAAGTATCTGTCTGTGGAGTGTATCCTTCTGAAAGGTTGAAGGTCCCATTATCAGTCCAGGATACTTCTGAGACGTCCGTGTCAGACACTGATAATTCTTTGGCAGCAACCGTAAGGCTAATCTGGGTTAATATAAATACAGTGGCACATTTTAAGCTGCAGAAGAAATTTTTCTGCAAAGTCTACACTAATACCCCAAATGTCATAATCATAAAAACAGATGACTATTTTCCTCTGAGGTTGTTCAGATGACTGAATCTATTAGGAAAATCATCCAGCCTGGGTTCATATAAATAAAGGTACAGTCAAACCACAGAAACAAATTGAGAACTAAACAAAAATACCTTAGGACAAAGAGCAGAAAAGTCTAATTCACTGTCATCTTTGTGACTTTTTTCTTTGTCTGCTTCTGTTGAGAAAAAAATTGGGAGGCTTTCAGTTTCCTGGCGCGCTTAGACACGGTGTACTTACTGTATTACATATTCTTACCCCACACTCCCCATGTCCTTCAGTGCCTCCCTACAGATAAATATTTCCACAAGATGAGTGTGGTGGCATGCGCCATTAATCCCAGCATTCTAGGAAGCTGAGACGGGAGGATCACCAAGTTCAACCCCAGCCTGGGCAACTCAGTGACTTAGTGAGACCTGGTCTCAAAATAAATAAATTTTTAAAAAGGGCCAGGGACACAGTTTGATGCAAAGGCTCTGGGGTCAATCCCCAGTATAGGAAAAAAATGTTTGCATATAAGAAAGCTTACATGTCTGCAAATGGTAAGAAGCCCCGCAGATTTGCAAGGCATTTGCTTTCCAAAGGCAGTGGTCCCTACTAGCGGTGCCCGCTGGCCACTGCAACAGCCACAGCCCTGGGAACCCCTTAGCAATGCAAATGCTCAGGTCCCTCCCTCGACCCAGTTGGAGACGGTAGCCCACAGGCTGCTCTGGTTAAGTCCTCCAGCTGGTAAAGCCGTCATCCTTTAAAAATTGGGATTTAAAAGTCAATTTATGTAACTACGATTGAGAAAAAGAGTAAAAGAATAAAAAGGAAAAAGTTACATGTATTACCGGGGTGGGGGTAGCTCCTATGATAATATTTAGTAAGAAGCTAACAGCTCCCTAGAATATACAAAAGACCTGGGCTGGGCCTGCGGGTGTGCAAGGTGTGAGCGACAGGATGTGCACGACGCCGCCGGTCACGTCCAGGCTCCATTCTGAGTGGGGGCATGGTGACCGTTCAGGCAGTGTCTGTACTGCAACTCTGACTATCCTTCAGTCGCCTAGCATTTTCATCCACCTTCAAGACCCAAGGACACCAGCTGGATGTGGTAGTGCACGCTCTTAATTCCAGCACACTGGGAGGCTGAGGCGGGAGGATCACAAATTCCAGCCCAGCCTGGACAGTTTAACAACTTAGGTATGCATTGTCTTAACCAATCAGTCAATCAATCAATTATAGGTTTAGAAATGTAGCTCAGTGCAAAGGCCTTGCATTCAATCACCAGTCCCACAGCCACCACCACCCGAAAAAAAAGAGAGACTGAGATAAGAGTAGCTAAAGTCATTTTCAGGACTCTCGGGGGCATCTAGTGGTCAGCTCTTACAACATCCGGTTCCAGGCTCCCTGGAGCAAGGAGTTGCAAGCCCTAAACCTCTAACCCACCTCAGGGGCCCAGAGGGGCACAGCCTCACAGACTGGCCCAGGCAGGAACAATGCCCAGGGTGGGAACCGAGGCTGCCCCGCAGCAGAGGAGATGTCCTCTGATGGAAGCTGCAGCCCTCAGGCCTCTCCCATACCCTCAGACAGTGAGCCTTGAGGTGTCGGCTGACCAGGCCACAGCCTGACAAGTGGACTGCGGCACAGGGGCGGCTATGCAAACCTTCAACTTTGCCTTTGATCCCCCTTCTATAAAACCCCAGAGTTTTTGTCTGGCCCTCAAAGGCATATCTTGAGCCTCTTGACTGATGCTCCCTAGCCCTGCCTTCTGCCCTGCACCACTGCTGGCTCCCTGAGGGTATTACAGGATAGACAGCTGGGCCTGGGCCACTGGGACACCTAGAGCCAGGGCTTCTGCCCTAAAACTCTGGCAACCATCTCAAAATAGACCGCTGATGTCGCGTCTCATGCACAGACTCTAAGATTCAAACTTTACTTACCAGATCTCTCACGTTTCTTCTGACTAATATATTCTCCGATGCCAAAATCTAGTTTCAACAGAACTGACTTGATTTTGCTGTATATCTTTTGTCCAATATCATTGCATTTAAACAGTGGACATAAAAATGCAAACAGTACTGAAATATAAGAAGGAAGTATAGGTAAAACACCACTCCTTTTTACTACTTCACAAAATGCTAAATTTCCTTTGTTGAAAAACAAGTCTTTTTTGTTTTGTTTTGTTTTTCAAAAAAATGCCTCTGTAAAGTAAGTTTCTAATTTTTAACTCTTCTCCTATAATGAAACACACACACACACACACACACACACCATGCTCACAGTCTCTGTTTTTAGACTTTCGATGAGATTACCCTTCTCCCCTCAATCCTTTCACTCTGAAAACTTCCAGAAAGTTGTCTGTTTCCCAGATAACTGTCCAGGGTTAGAACCTCACCCTGTTTATTATGTGGCTTTTTGCTGCGGGAAACCTGCTATCATCTCTCAGTCTGTCATCAGTGATACTGGGGTAATATTATCGCTTGAAGTTGGTCTGCTACATGAGATAAATTCAAACCATCTGAAAAGTGCCTTGCTCATACTTCTCCTCCCCTACACTTTTCTTCTTTACCTCCTAAATAACACAGCTCAAGAGGCTGATGCTTTAGGTGAGTTCTGGCTGGAAGGCTTGATCTGAGCTCTAACCATATGCCGTTTGTGTTATGCATTAGGAATACAAAGTGAGATAAAGATGATCACGCTGGATGTACTGTACTGCCCAATGTTTATGTCCTCGTTGTTGCCAGGAGATTTATCCTATTACCTTTTAAGACAGGAGTTGCAAAACTTAAGTATCTTTATGTAAATGAGTTAGTTGAGACTGCCTCCCTCATCAAAAAGTAGCAGTATCAGACCTACTTTTCAGGAAAGGCAGAAAACCTATACTTTATAATGCATTTTTTGAGTTATAGTTCATATATAATAAATTGCACATAAAATATACAATATGATGAATTTTGACATATGCATGTAACCAAAAACAATCACAGGGGCAAGATATCTACTAACCCCCCCACACACACACACACACACTTCATGTTTTCATTAAGGCTTTACTTCTGGGTCCTGGCTCTCCCTGCTTCCATTCAGCTCAGCTCCAGGCAGCCAATGATCTGCTTGGTCACTAAACAGTACTTTGAATTTTCTAGAATCACATCCAAATAGAATTGCAGTAGGTAACTCTATGTGGCTTCTTCCACTCGGCCTCACTGTTTTGAGATTTAGCCTAGTGCTGCATGTATCAATGCTCAGTAATAATCCATTATATGGATATACCACAGTTTGTTTATCTATTCATCTGCTGATGGCCATATGGATTGTATTACCCTTCACACTACTGCAAATAACTCTGCTATGAACATCTGTGTCTAAGTCTCTGGAGATGCATGTATTCATTCACTACCTACTGTGGGATGACTGGGTCATACAGCAGAAACTGTCTCCCTGCCAACAATGTGTAAGAATTCTCCTTGCTCTGAATTCTTCCTAATACTTCAAATGGTCAGTAGTTTTAATTTTAGCCCTTCTGGCAGAAGTGCATACAGTGAAGTCTCACTGTAATTTTGTCTTTTTGAACTACAGAACATGCAAAATGGCACAAGCAATGGTGTATTTGTGGGTAGTGGGGCATACAGCTTATTTATAGTTTTATGAACATAATTTAAAATAGAAGTATTCACTTTCAATCTGCCTTTTGCACATCTTCCCAAAATGTCTCTAGGAAAAAAAAGAAACTCTGTACAGCAGGAGATTAAGAAGTAACCAATTTAGCAGGAAGAACTCATGCCTTCTCTTCCAAACTATGGCAAGTCTGTTGGCCACAAAATGATGACATTTGCACCATAGAAATCAGTCCCATGTTCTACCATACTTACACAGTAGATAGCTGAGTATGACCCCAGGAATGTAACTTCCCAAGACTGTAAAAAATGTGCACACACTGCAGACCAGGAGACAAAACTGCAAGTAACAAAAACAAAACGGACCATTATGTGCCACAGAAAGACATTTAGAGCACGGAATACACACACTTATTTATTTCTACAAGGCCTACTGGATTATGGCAAATGTGCTCCAAACAGCATCCTTTGCACTCACAGAGGGACTGAGAGACACTGAACAGGCCTTAGTTCACTGTAACACTTGGAAATAATCGTTTTAGACGCAGAGGAGCTGATTTCTGCAACTCAAAATAATGACTCCCATTAGCAGCTGAATTACGGCCAGATGCAGGATTCCTGAAGAGTAAGTAGTGTCCTCAGAAACCTCTTCCTCCATGTCATTAATAACAGCGATACCACCTGACATAATTCAACCTGAAACTTCAAACTACGACTGTAAGGCTATAGAAATTCATACATACAGCAAACTGTGTTAGAGAAATTAGAGGCATCTATACAAACCTACTGTTATGTGCACAGCAGTAAACTTCTGGGATCCATCTATGGCCATTACAACCCCCCTTTCTAACAATATCCACCCATTTCTCGACCGCCTGTTAACCAACCACAAATGAAATGAAACACCTACACTGAAATGTTATTATTTTCCTTTTCTCTGCCAATTACAGCAACAGCAAAATCTTAGTTGTCTTAAGAAATGTAAAAACAATCTACAGAAAATTTTCCTGCTACCCAGTAGAAACATCAAGACAGAAAAACCTTCCCCTTGAAGTCTTCACTTAATTTTCACACTTCAGTCTAAGTCTTTCTTTTTGTCTTATCTTTACACGGAGGTATCAGAGTACACTGAGAAAATTCACTAAGGGACTTTCAAAAAGCCGCATGAACAAGGAATACAAACCTCTCACCAATAACTGAGTTAAGGAAAGGGCAAGGAGTCTCACTCTCAGGTGAATTCCATTCTTTGGCATGGGGTTAATAAATTAATAAAGCAGAACAGATGAACGTGTAGGGCAAAATTAAGAGCTATTTATGAGATACCAAATGCCCTTGGAAGAATATGGAATTCTAGAAGTGAAATGGAAGAAGTAAAGCTATAGAGATGGGAGGAATGATAGCCAATAACAGCACGATGACATCTAGGACTACTTGCTGGAAAGGGATATCTTATCAACCCCTAGCTTTTGAAGCAACCTCATCACAGCCAACAGACTTGGAATGCAGTGAGGCAACCCAGTGTAGAAGTCTGAAGTTTAGAATCTTCCAAAAATACGTTTAATCACCTTGGTAAAATAGATCATGCATGCTATTATGGCTTAGAACTAATATGTCCTCCAAAAGTCTCACTCGGAGGCAGACACTGGTCAGGGCAGTGGGTATCCAAGGGCGTGACCTGGAAGGGTATATTCCTGTCCCCAGCTCCTCCTTTCCCTCTCTGCTCCCTGGAGGCCATGGTATGAGCACCTGTCCTCTGCCAGGCCCTTTCATCTTTCTGCCTTGGACCCAACCGACTATGGACTGAACCCATCAAACCCACCAAAAAACAAACCTCCTTCAAGTTGTGAGTTTTGGGTGTTTTATCCCAGCTAACTAATACACCTGCCATATGGAGATCTACTATACAATCTATCTCCAGTGATTTTAAAAAATCAACCCAAACACAATGCCACTGCAATATCCTCAGAATGTTTCCAAGGTAGTTCTACTATTTAATGCTGACGAAGCCACGAGATTGCCCATAAGCAGCACTTCGGCAGGACTGTACATGCTGCATTTTAAGCATCCCATGGTCAGAGGTCATCCCACTCTGTGAAGCTGCTCTGAGCCTGTAAGACAGATCAACAGCAATGCTGGACTGTGTCACGCAGGCGGTAGTGACATCGGTCTCCCTGACCCAGTCTGTCTTGCTTGAAGGGAAGGAAAGCGCCAGGAGCAGTCAGTGAGCCGGGCCAGGAAACCGTGAAGGCAGCGATGCAACCAACGAGGGCTGCGGAGCTTCTGCACCTCATGCAGCCACCAGACCGCCGGCCACGGTGAGAGCTGCCTGGGTCCGTACAGTATCAGAGTGTCACCCTTCTCCAGGAAGCACACACATTCCAACCACTGAGGACGCCCCCTGTGGGTTCCCACCTTAACTGGAGAAACGCCCATTCTATGTACAAAATCATGATAGGTGTTTTTGCAAAGAATTTTCGTTCTGAAGTAAATCATATAAGAAGCTCCTTTTTAGATTGGCAGTTAGACTCTGTTACCTCTGACTGCACACCTGCAGGACTATGTGTTCATTCCCCAGAGACTCTTCAGAACCAGGCAAAATGGAATTAATGAAATTCTTTTTTTTTTTCTTTTTTTGGATTTTTTTTTGAGACAGAGTCTCGCTATGTAGTGCAGTCTAGCCTTGAACTCACTATATGGCCCAGACTGGCCTCAAACTCATGGTGATCCTCCTGCCTCAGCCTCCCAAGTACTGGGATTACAAGCGTGCACCACCATGCCCAGCTTCAATAAATTCTTAATAAGACTTTTTTTTCCCCTTTTCAGCTTGGCTGCTAAGACCACGCACCATTCATTCCAATTAATAGCCCAAATAAACATGTATAAAATGTAAGCCCAATACAATTTCCAAACATGAGGCTGAAGGTTCTCTGGTGCTCACGTGCTAACATTTCCAAGCCCGGCTAACACCAGTTTTTATGACACGGGCTCCAAGAGCATTCAGAGTTGGGGAGCTGACAGCCGATGAAAGAGGTCTGTTCATCTGTTCCCAAGTGTCTGGCACATTTAAAAACACACTCCTCTCCGAGGAAACTTACCTTCCCAGGACTCTGCTGTTTGAAAAGAGACATTTCTTGCAGAAATATGCTGAAGTTGACCCATGATTCTGCAATGCAGTGGCTGAGTCTGGGTCTTTCATCTGGTTTGGAATTGACAACTTCCCAGCTAGAAAGAGAAAAAGAAAAAAGAATGTAACTGAACTTTAGATGAGTCACTCAGTAGTCATGGTTTCAGCAAACATGTACTAAGTAAGCATCTACTGTGTGCCCCCGCTCTCTAGGAAGTCCTGCGAATCCCTGCGAACACCGAGCTGCGTTCCTCAGACTCCTGCCCCACGGAGCTCGCAGGCCAAGCGCAACAACATACTGCACGATCAATCATCAGATCGCGGCGAAGGAAACCGGGGTGTGGGGTGGGGGTGGGGGCAACGCGGGGGCTCTGAGGCTTCTTCTCTGAAGAAGTCACTTGCCAACTCAGATCTGGACTGGATTTGCGGTTACCATTCGTGTTCCACATAAAGCCAGGCAGCACAGGCGCAGAGACCTCGGGATAGGAGGCACGGAAAGTGCTACCCTACTATGCCCCGATGGAGCCAGGAGAAAAGGCGCAAACAGTTGCTCAGGGGATGGGGGAGGACCCAGACCCTGCAGGAGACTCACAGGATTTGCTAGAAACTCTAAACCTCACGGATCAGGAAGCCACCAAACTTCTAAGGAAACTGGGCGCTGAGCATGTAATAGTGAAGACGAACAACACACACCACCATGTACTTCTGACAGCTGTAGTGAATGGCCAACTACAGGAAAAGGTCAATCTCAACAGGATCTCAAGGAAGCCCCGATTTTTCCAGGCTGTCTTTTCCCCACCATCATCTGGAATGTGTTCAACGTGACACACAGGCCAGGCAGGGTGTGTGTCCCTGTCTCTACCCGGAAGGCGGTGCCAGCAGCTATAGCAGTGGCGACACACAAAGCCCATGAAAGGGTTGTCAGCAGAAGACACGGGGGTGAGCTCAGTAGTGAGCACCCCTCTGAGCTCCGACTGCAAAGGCATCGGGGTGAGGCACTTACACCAACCTAGTGTTACCTGCAGAGCGCCCTGAGACAAAGCAAAGCGACCTTGGTCTTTAGATGCTGGACAACACAGCAACTGTGTACATACGGATTCTGTTGCTTTTTCATGTATTTTAAATAAGCAATTTGTAAGTTACAATTTCTTTTCTTTTTTAGCCATAAACTTTAATTCAAGTTTAATGAGTGCAAAGGCATTAAAATGCATTCCGTTTTCCAGTTTCCTTTCGCTCTGGCTCAATAATGTCCCCTGCCAAAGCGTCACTGTACCCAAGGTCTCTGCACCCGTGCTGCATGGCTTTATGTGGGACCCGAACAGTAACCACGAGTCCAGTCCAGATCTGAGCTGTGCAGGTTCTCACCAGGTGGACAGCCCACCTGTCATCAGAAAGGAGCCTCTGGAGATGCCTGGGGTCAGGAACGGCTCTATGCAGTTACCCACCCACTCTCCCTCTCTTGGACCACTCAGTGCAAATTCCCTCTGGTGAGCAAATCTTGTACCTGGTTTGCACACCCCGTGAGTAATTCTAGACGTATGAAAAGAATGCTCAGAAGCCACTGTAACAAATACCAATACATCTGCAACAAATACCAATACGTCTGCCGATACACCAATACATCTAAGTGGGAAAAGATTCTCACAGGAGAACCAAAGCTGGATGGCCAAGGAAATGTACGGTTATTAAACTGTGGTCTCTTTTCTCAGAAAGCACAGATGTTTCATGAGCCCTGGAGGGCAACAGGAACACAGATTTTCATATCTGCTCTCTGTATCATGTAATAGTCGGATTCGGTGCAGCTGTCTGGCGAATAGAATTACAACAAAACTCTAAAACTTTAAACGATCTGAATAGCAAATTTTAGAGATGTAAGAAGTAATGAACATTTTGTGTGTTGATACACATTTACAGCATACTTTCATTAAGACAATGAACAGGGCCTAGTGCTGCACACACCTAGAATGCCGGCACTCCAGGAGGCTGAAGCAGGAGGACCACAAGTTCGAGCCCATCCTAGGCAACTTAGCAACTTGGTGAAGCCCTGTTTCACTAAATAAGAAGGGCTGGGATGTAGCTCAGTGTGAAGACCCTAGGTTCAATCTCCAGAATGAAAAAAACAGGCGGGGGGCGGGGGGAGGTGCTGTTCTCAAGCAATGGGAAATAAAACAGGGAAAGTGTGAATGAAGTCAAACTCCACGTTTATTTATCAACCTTGCAATCACAACATTAGGAAAGAAAACAACCACAGACAAAATATGTACAGTATGAGTCTATCTAAAGAAAGCTCAAAATCATGGTAGGCAGAATGGGCTACTTAAGCACCCAAGTGATTAAAACAAAAAGTCAGGAGAGGAGTTGTTTCAGGTGGGGATTAAGCAATGACCCCACTTGGGCAGTGATCACACAGAATCCATGCACGACCCTTAAGGCTCTCCACACGTGTACGTGTGCACATTCGCCACTCTACGGAAAAAGGTCTTGACTTCCAAGGGTGTCATCAAGCTTTTCATTTCATGAATAAGCACTCACACGGGCGGCCCCTGCCTCCATCCTACTGCCTGGAAGGAGGTTGTCCTCCAGCCCTGGTCAGGCCCTCTGCTGCTGTCCAGCGGGGCCCGGCCAGGTGTTGTGTCCCCGCCCGCAGCCGAGGGCAGCCCCCGCAGCGCTGGACACCACTTGCTGAGTCCCACGAGGATGGCCAGGAAAGGCGCCCGGACAACTTTCTCAGCGACCCTCCCTGCTCTGGACCCTAAACAGCCAGTGGCCTAGCACAGGGGGTTTCGGGGGGCTGTACCCCCAAGTCATCCACCGCCTGGCCCTGGAAGGACGCCCAGGAAACTCATTCCCTCTTCCAGCTGGACAGACCTGAGCTGTTCTTTGCACTGTCCGACTCCTGTATGGAGGCAGACATTTCTTTCACGCAACAAGTCCAAATACAAATGTTACCAGCTTTCCCCAGTTCATTTATCCGTGAAGTAAAAATCAACTTTCTATTGGCTAGACCCATAACAACCATTCTTATTTTACTAATATTTTGTTGGTGCTGAGCCTTAAGTGCTTGGCCTCATGCACACTAGGCAAGTGCCCTACCACTGAGCTACAGTGTCCTCCAGGTCTGAAAACTCATTTGTGAAAACAATTGGTACATGCCACAACTCTGTTCTGACACTACCTCTAGGATGCGTGTCTCAGGTAACATCACATCTGTACACACAGTTTTCCTTACTCTACTAAGGAAATTGCCTAAAATTGGGAAGGAAGTAAATACTAAATTATCACTGTAGTAATAATGTCGAATAGAGACTTCATGTAACCTAAGGGGCTTCACGTAGAGCACAGAGAAATAACTAAAAATTCTTTTTTGCACTTAAAGGTCTTATCTTTCTTCCACAGTGGACATCATCTACCCATTAGCTTATTCACTCATTCAGTAAAACTGAATCAAGTTCCCTTTTATATCTTGCATTGTGCTAAATGTGTCAAATATTACTTAGAAAGCTCAAATGCCCACACCACTTCTTTTATCACTGTGTCAACAGCCACTACACCAGTCGCTGGGAAGAAAAAGTAAGTATTAACTTGTGACTACTGTCTGTAACTGTAAGACAGCAGGTACATTACATTTCTTCTCTCTGAGAAAGCTTCAAGTGACTTCGAACAATAAACTCCAATGATCTGGAGTTATTTTGGAACAAATAAACTCCATGGTTACATTTATATCAACACAATAAAAAATTCTCGCTGGCATTTGAATTGTGATGATCGCAAACAGAAATGAGAAATTCACTGTCCACAACTTGAAAATGTTATCTAACTAAATGGGTTTTGGTTTTTCTGGGGTTTTGGTTTTGGTTTTGGTTTCTGTCTTCTTGAGACGGTCTCACTATGCAGTTCAGGTTGGCCTTGAACTCACTTATGTAGAGCAGGCCGGTCTCGAACTCGAAATGATCCTCCTGCCTCAGCCTCCTAAGTGCTGGGATTACAGGCACGTGCCACCACGCCCAGCATAAGTGGGTTTTGGAAAGACTAATAAATGTGGGAGGTAAAAACAAACCTTCAGACTATACTGAATAAAATTTAAAGGAAACACATGCTTTCAAAAAGAAAATCTGAATTTAAAGATGAAGAGCTGTTACTCTACACTTTAAATGAGATATGGGTCCAAAAGCATTGTTCCCTGACAGTTTAAAAACAGTTTAAAATGGCCCAGAGACTGTCTCTGAATGCCACGGGTACACATCTCTTTCATTACCTTATGCCACCACTACTAAGTTTTGGTAACACAGAGTTATATAATGGATAAGATGGACCATTTAATGTCAATTTTTCAAAATCCCTTATTTTATAGATGAGACACACTGAAACCCACCCATGTTTTCTCAGTTTGGGGCACAGCCAGGACCCAAGACCGAGACTCCAATTTCCAACACGGCTCTATTCAGTGGAGAAAACACATGTGAACACACGTGTCCTCATCCTATGTGAGTAAATTCAGCGGCCCGCTCTGACGAGATCAGGCTGTAATCAGAAGGAGCGGGAACAGGTCGCGTTCCCCTGCTCCTTCCTAGAGTGAGACGGATGAGGTGTGGTGGCCAACACCACACACCATGACGCAGGCCCAATCCTTTCCAGGAAAGCAGAATTCAAAAACTCAGCGGAAACTAAGACCCAGGCTTGGTGGCTGGTTGACGTTTCATACAGGTGACGTCAGTACACATGCGCGGAGTTGCTCCAGAGTGAAACTCTAGGTTTTCCTAGAGAGCCATGTTTGGGAAACACACAGCCAGAGAAAGATCTCCTGTGAGTACTGGACGGGGTTTGGGAAACAGATCTCTCCCACAGTGTGTGGCCGCCCTCCCGTCACCTTGGCACCAGACTGGTGAGCCATGTAAGGCCCAACTACAAAAAGAAAGGAAATACACCTTAGCATTTGCCCTCAGCCATCTGAACTTTGACAAGGTGGCCAAACACACACCCTGCAGGGAAGACCGCCTCTTTACCAAGTGGTACTGGGAACACTCGCTGTCCACACGCAGAAGACTCAATCTACATCTCTTGCCGCGTACTAAAGCAAAAT